TCTCCTCCCTCTCAGCCACCACCACCACCACCTACCACTTTTCTCTCTTTTCTTTTGGATAAATCTCACACCCACCACACCACAACCACGCACCACTTTGTTTGATCGGCACCCCTTTTCCTCGGGAAGTTCACTGCCACTTTCTCCTTCTCTCAACAGAGCCGCCGCTTTCTCCTCCCCTCGTCAGAGCCACTGCCACCTTTTCTACCCTTCTCAAAGTCGCTCAGAAAAAAGGATCGTGGTGGGTAATTGATTAGGAAAAAAAAGGAGAATTTGAGTAAGCTTGAAATCTTAGTTTTAAAGCAAATTTGGTGAAAGATGGATCGATCGTGAAAGATCGTGGTGGGTAAGATATGTGAGGGTGGTGGTGGGGTTCCACGATTTCGCTCCAAGTGGTGGGTTTTCGCGATTTCGCTCAGGTGGTGGATTTCGCGATTTCGCTCGGGTGTTGGATTTTGCGATTTCGTTGTTGATGCGAGTTGTCTGGAGTGGGTTTTGGGTGGTTATGGTGATGAGACGGGATGGGGTGGTGGTGGTGGTGAGATGGTATTACCGGATGAGGTGGTGGTGGTGGTTTCAGGGTATGGGTAGATGTGGGTGGTGGTGGATGTTGAAACTGGTGGGTGGTGGGGTGGTGGATGTTGCTGCTCGTGGGTGGTAGTGGTGGTTGATTAATTTCCCCCCTTTATCTCTCCTACCCTTAATCACAAAGTCTTTACTTTGTTAATCACCTATTAACAAATTTTGTCTTGGGAAACGTGCAACAAGGTTTGTTGCACATAATGTGTAACGGAGGGAGTATATAAATTGAAATAATAAAAAGTTAATATCAAAATAACATGAATTTATAAAATCTGGAGTACCATGTGCACGGTATTCCAAGAGTAAGATAGAAATTACGGTCATCCGCTGTGATTTTATCATATTACCCCGAGTTAAATGATGATAAATTGAAAATATCCCTTTCGATTGCCGAATTTTGTAAATCAAATACTATATAAACTTAAATTTAGCGAGAAAATAACGATACTCTTTCACAAAAATCCTAACTTCATTCTCTCTCCTCTCTTCGAGGTGCTGCCCGGCTTCGTCTCCGACTTCTCTGCCGACTGTAGTCCCGTCGACGGCCCGCCAGCGTCGCTCACTCGCCCTACTCGTTAAACACTTAGCCTGCTCAATTCAATAATTCAGGTTTTTCGAGTTATATATTATTAATGAAATAGTAGATTGAATTGTTTATTAATTAAATTTTGATTTTTGAATACTTAATAAGTGTTGAATTATTGATCCAATTGCTGAGTTGTTGAATTGTTGGTTGAATTGCTGAATTGTTGGTTGAATAGTTGATGTTGTTTCGTTCATAACTTCATATGTGGTATGTGCCTTCCGTAGACTTGTGGTAAAACATCAAGTGAAACTGTCAGTATTATTTAAGGCTGTATTTTTGCATTGTTTACATTTTTAAATATATATAATCTTGTAATCGAAATGTATTGTGCACACTCGAATTATCAATTGCAAACTTTATTTTGAATTATGATATTTGATTTCAATTAATTTGTTTGGAAAGTTTGAACTTATGTTGTCTTCTTCTTTTGTTGAGTACTTTTTAACTACTTATCTTATTGCAGTTTGGAATTCCATGGAATCTTGTTCAACTATCGTTAGAGGCATTGGTAGTAAGAATAAATCATATTGGTTTAAGGAAGATGTGACTACTTTTGTGAATGGATTGCTACAGCGTATACATGGAAGACTACGAAACATTTCACACAATCACACATTTGGCACCTCCAATTCTGCTGTTTTCAAACAAGTCACCCTTCTTGAAATACAACCTCATTATCGAGATAATGAGCCTCCATTACCTTTTACTCGCTCTGCCACTATAAAAAATAGCAGCAAGGTCTATTGTGTTGGTGGTAACTCAGATATTCGTGGGTTTCGTCAAATCATGTCTGAGAGACGTGGTGGTTGTTCGAAGCCAGTTACCGAAGAAAGAGAAATTACTAAGAATAATATGAGTCATAGGATTGTGGAAATTAATTTTGGCTTAGATTTTGGTGCAATTGAAAGTTATTTTGGTGCTCCTTTAGTCTCCCCAAGATTTTGCCCCAAGGTTGTGAGTATAAGGAATAATGTTTACTTATTCGGAGGAAATTGCCCTCCTAGTTCTGAAGAGGAAAGAAGTAGGGTTCCTTTTGCTGAGGTATTTGATCCAGTAATTGGAGAATGTTCACCGCTACCCGAGATGCCATACCCTAGGATTGGTGAATTGTATTTGATAGTTGTTCCTTTTCTAGGTAGTAGAGGGGAGGATAAAATACTAATTATGTCATGAGCACTTTCTTGTAGCTCAAATGCTATCCTTATGGCTGTCTATGACACCATTTGCAAGTCTTGGACAAACTGGACTGATCCCGGGGGAGTTCTCTTTGATTGTCTTTGTGATATCTCTGGGGAACCTGTGGCCGTGCGTGACCAAAATTCTACCTATTGGTTGCGGGGTAGGTTTAGTAATCCTGGGAAAATATGCTGCTACGATTGGAAAAAAAAACAAATCTTTCAAGGAACTATTTTACATGGTTTTGAAAATGATGAACCTATTTATAATTTTCAAGAAAGTTTATGCAAACATTTGCTTCATATCATTGATGACTTATTTTGTTTGATTTGGTACGAGATTGAACTCAGAGATGGCATTAGAGTTCTCAATCCATCCACTCATTTCCATTTTTCCTTCTTACTCGTCCACAAGAAAAAGTCTTCTGATTCTTCCGGTATTAATGAGTTGGAAATTCAATTAGTCGGATGTCAAAACAATATTGTTGAAGGCATAATCAAAGTTGTAGAAGCTAGGTGTTGTAAATCTTTCAAGCTATGATATTGTAAGTCTTCAATCTCATCTTCTATATATTTGTTATAATGTTGTATATTATTTGTTATGTGCTACTTAATTTTTGTTACAATTTTGTATATTATTCTGAAGTTTTAATATAATGTTGATTTAGTGTCATAAAGTGGACCGTGGACTGTGTTTTAGTATGTTTATGCTTAAGTTTTAATGTGATTTGCAGTGTCAAACCTTGTTTTGTTGTTGATTTGAGTAATTTTGGATGAATGTAGATGTGGCCGGGTTTAATGCAGCTGGCAAAGGAAGGCGGTGTGGATGTCATTGAATCATATGTATTTTGGAATGGCCATGAATTGTCTCCTGACAATGTGAGTTAGAAACATGTGAAATTTGGTGTTAGGGATTTCCTTTTATCAAGTACTTTTTGCTAATCTGCCAATTTGTGCTGTTGACTACATACACTGAGGCACTGAGCAGCTCAGCTTTTGAACTGATTTTTTTTTGAAGGGAAGCTTTTGAACTGAAGTATTGACACAATTGTTCTCAAACAAATTAAAGGGTTTTTATTTCCTGCAATTCATGTATTAAACTTGAAAATGCAATCAGTGCACTTTATTTTCTGCTGTACATTTTTTTTCTTACCAGCATGCTTACAAGTAAAAATTAAATGTAAGACTAGTACAAACTAACATCTGAAATCATGGCTCAAAAACTATCTCCTGTAGAAACCTGCACCTTAATCTAGTTCAGTACTCACTGAAATTAGTTTTTGGAGTTGACCCAGGAAACTTCACATCCGGCCTCTAAGCTGGTAAATCAGGCACCTGCAGTTCCCCTTTTAGCATCATTAGTGCTTCCTTAATGGTAGGCCTTTTCTTGTTATCTAAGTGCACACAACACAGACCAACCTTGAGCATCCTTTCCATGTCTTCCTTGCTATACTGCCCTCCAATTAACGGCCTCAATCAGCTTACCCTTCTCCCACAGGTTTCATATCCAATCAATGAGAAAACCTTGTTTGTTCTCAATTGGCCTTCTTCCAGTCACCACGTGCCTCCAAAACCACCACTTCGAACTTAATAGTAGGAACACCAAAGTGAAGATACTCTGGGGCTAAATACCCCATTGTCCCAACTGGAATAGTCGGTTTCCTCAATCTAGAATCCCAGTCATAGACCTCAACCAATCCAATATAACCAAGTTTAGGTTTAAATCCGAATCATGCATCACATTAAAAGTCTTAACATCCCTATGAATGATCTGCCTGTTGCATTATTCATGCAAGTATGGAAGACCAGAAGCTATACCGTGAACAAATGTTCAACCATTGTTCAAAAGTAAGCACACAAAAAGCATCCGAATCTGTATGCTGATTCTGATCAAAGGTTACCATTAGGCAGAAACTCATACACAAGGATAAGTTCATTTTTTTTTTCACAGTACCATCCCAACTACACTAGGTTTTTTAAGCTTCAATTTTCGAGTCATAGCAGCACATTCATTGGTAAAGGATCTAATGATATTACCATTACTAGCATCATTGAATCTTTTAACAACTTGTTCATGGAAAAGAATTCCCTTCTAAACACTTGCTGATGCTCCTTGCCTTATGATCCCACTCTTGCTGAAACCAAGAGATACAGAGCTCTCGTCTGTAGTAACTGCGACACACATTTTGGTTCATTGCAAATGGAAGCCATCTTTAATCATAAGACAACAGAAGGCTTCAACTCCAGAAAACACGGGAAGCTTATTGGGAATCTTCAAAGTAAGGTGAGATATCAATCAGCTTCCTCACGATTGAATTCAAGGAGTAAATAGTAGCCTGGTAGACCCAACAAGCGAGCTGCAAGAGCAACTCCAGCCAAGGCAGTGCCTGTTGTTGCATTGCCTGATTCACCTCATCCTATTTCTAAATGCTTTTGTCCAATTTCTTACTTCACCATGTGATGTTATCTTCAATATAATAGTAACAAGTGGAATCAGTAGAGTGAAATTGTTGCAAAATTTTAAATCCATGATGCCATTTCATGTACTGTTATCAGCTAAATATAAATGATGAACATAGTAAAAGTGTAAAACACACATGCTTATGATAATTGGATTTTCACAATGAAGTATTTACAAATTACAACTGCCAAAGTTGTTTTACCTCCCACTACTTGGTTCACAAAGGGACAAATCAAGCTAAAAATCCATTGAAGGTTGAGGCAAGGGAGGAAATAAAAACAAAGCTAGCAAGACGAGGTCAGAAATGAGAGCAAAAAAAATACATTAAAAAAAACACATTAAAATATATTATACAAATCAACAATATTGAGTGTTTACGAAGAATAAATTATGTCTATTACATTCCGCACTATAGAATACGACTTTACGAGTACAATATAGTGTAACAAAACCCGGAGTGATGTGAGTTGAAACCCTTTGAAATGAAAAATCTTTAGGGGGTCCAAGTTGATACTTCTCCTGAATCCTCTCTTCTTCAAGTTCCGCCAAAAAAAAGGAAAAACACCCAATTTTCATCATTTCGAGGGAAGCAACAATGGCCTTATCCATTTCTTCAACATCCCAATTATCAATCCCTAAAACCCCATTTTCTCAACCCCATAAAACCATCCCACTTTCTCTCTCCTCAATCTGCATTTCCAACCTTAAACCCTTTTCATCAAATCCCCAGAAACTACTGCAACCCATTGTTTGTGCTGCTGCAAAACAGCAAAGTGGGTCATCAGTTAAATCTTCCAAGAAAAGAAAGAAGAAGGGTCCTTCTCCTCCTCCTGTTTCTGAAGAGTTGAGCTTGGATGATTTTGATGTTTTGGATGAAGAAGAAGGTGAAAATGGTGGAAATTCAAAGCGTTCAGATGTTTATATTCCTCTTCCTTTGCCTAAACCACCTGCTGGGTTTGTCATTGATGATCAAGGCCGTGTTCTTATGGTTGCCCCGAGGCGAATTGCTACTATTGTTGAGTGTTCTTTCAACTCTTTTCATTGTTTTTTTTGTTTAATTTTATTTTATGTTAGTGATATTTGGGTTTAATTTGCTCAATTTTGTTCGTCATATTGATTTTTTGATTTTTATGGGTTAATTCTATTTGGCTCGTATAGTAGGTGGTAATAAATGGCCGTAATGGAAATGAATTTATATGTGATTGTGGTCTGATGATTAAAGGAGCTTGTTAGTGCAAATAGGTTTATTATGGGGGGGCTTGAACTTGAAAGTTTATGTAGACTCATGTATTTTGTATGTTGTGAGGGTTTGCTTTCGGAAGTCAAAACCTGTGGGAAATTGAGGGTTGAATTTGGTGATAGATTTCTTTCATGGATTAATAATGTTTCTTGGGTTGATTGATAAGAAATTGGATGTTTTTTTTGATGGATTTATTGATGAATAAAGTGCTAATTGTTTGGTGGGTTAATTATATATATATATATATATATATATATATATAGTGATTGCAAACTATGTAACCTTTGTATGGCTTGGAGTCTATTTCATCATTGCCTTTATATTGGGAACTCCGTACCTTATATTGTGACCTTTGGTCAGTAGCTTGAGCTTGTGGATAGTTGTTGTGATGATTGCTAGACATGGTTTGATGGCAGGTTGTAGTTTTAGGCAATGTGCTCCTTATACAGTGTTAACACATTTATATGTGACTGATTGTTTATGTGCACAGGTTGACCCAACCAATAACCTTCCATTGGAGTGCATGATAAGGAGAGTATTTACAAATTCTAAAGGGGATGATTGTCTGCTACTGTGCCCAGTTGATACGTATGTTTTGTTTGATACTTGTATTATATATCTTAGTTCTTCACTATGTCATATTGACATATTGTTACCTTTGCCAACTCACTATGTCATATTGTTTTCATTTGGCAGGCCTGTTCAGATTTTGAAGAGCACAAATATTGACGGATGGTCAGCTGTATGTTTCTGCTTCCCACTATCCTATTACTTTTTGGAACTGTTTGTCCACATTGTTGCTTCTAGCAATCTATATTAGATGGATTCTGCTACATGAAATTCCATAGTTTTAACGTAAATAACCGGTGATCTCGTGCTTCATGAGTAAGGAGGAATCAGATAGAATTTTAATTTAGAAAGAGTGCCTTTTCTTACTCATCTCGTGGCTGTCTTCAAAAGGGAGTATTCTTTTTTATTGATAATCACTGTGAGGGGGTATATAGTGTGTCCAAATCCTATCCTTCTGTCATTTATAATTTGCTTAGAATTTTTTTTAAACCTGATCCTTCTCACCATTCTGTTTATAGTAGCTAACCATCACCTGTTTTGTCATGTTTTCTGTCAGACATTGTTCTCCATCTGTGCATCTTATGCTTTTACTCTAGGATATGGCTTCAGTATTACAATATTTTCTGCCATCTCCTTTTTTTCTGCTGTCTGACCAATGTCACTATGTAACCTTTATAGTTACTGATAAGTAATCGGTTTGGTTTTGCAACACATAGTGCACCTAGAGTTTAACTCTGTCTGGTTTCTATGCACTTTGGTTTCAATCTCTTTGCGCCTATGGTTACTGAAATAGTAGCTTTGCTTATTTGGTGGCATTGGTGCAGCAGAATTTGTGGTACTTGAACTTTGTGAAAATGTCTTTATTATCTGTCCTTGCTTTCATGTGCCGATGCATTTATCTATTTCAAATTTAGTTTCTTTGTTTATTGCTGTTTATGTCTTAGTTTGATATCCCCATTTTTCGCCGTTTCCCATCAGGAAAAACAAAAAGTTTCTAAATTTGCAGCACCTCTTATTTACAGGTTAATGATGATGAAGTTGAAGCTATCCTTCCAAATGCTGCTTATGCACTTGCTAAAATACATATGCATTTGGTACATAGTGGGTAAGATATAAGAGATGAGCATTTCGTTCGCTTGCAGAAAGAAACCATCCTTTGTAGCTGTTTATGTGCATCATCAGTTCCTTTGGGATTACTCATGTCTTCTATGTTTGCAAAATAGGTTTTGCTATACAGCTCGTGGAGGATTTTGCTACTCAGAAGAAAGCATATTTGACTTCCGGTCAGGTAAGGCGCTTACTGGCCCCTTCGTCTTTCACTCAACCTAATTTTCTATTTTATTATATTGGCTTTGAAACTAGCACGGTCCTGTTCCAAGGTACAGTGAGCCTCAATCTCTTATGTATATAGTAAATTCTTGGGCACTCAGTACCTAATGCTTGAGTTACTATGATCTATGAATACAGGAGAGAGGGTAGCCATTTTTTTTTTCTTTTCTATATTTAATCCTTAAATAAAAAATAAAAAATAAAAAACCTGGTGAAGGGGGTGAAGTGAGGATATTTCAGCTTCATTTGCTCAGTTGGAAATGTTTTCAGATAGCTAGTCCATTTGGAGCTTATGAGCTTGGTCTATTATGCACTCTGGTGTAGGGTTTTACCATCTGTTTTATCTGAGATGATCCAGGCTTGGCTCAAGTTTCAATGTACCTAAAAATAGCCATCATTTGTTATTGGACTCGATAGGACATTAGTGGGTACATCTGTACATGCGTTGTGAGCTTAAGACAATCCAATTGTAAGCTCAAGAAGCAGTGCTACAAAGCTGGTTTTCTCAAATCTGTCCTCATTCCCATTCTGTGGGTCATAGAGAAAAATAAAAAGAGGTCTAGGTATAGATACTTCCATTTTCATCATTTAAGTTAATTGGAACTTTCCTTGATGATTGACCTTCTTGGCTTCATGATCTTTATTTGATCCTAAAGTGTCTTAATTGACCAGTGTGAATGTTCAAAACATGGTGTCTCTTCATGTAAACTGTAAAAGTGATAATGCCAGATCATTTTCTATGGGTATGAAGATGAACAAGCATTTTTAATGGGTTCCTTTTGAAGGTAATTGCATAGTTGCTGTGCCTTTTCACACGAATTGATGAATGTCTTCCTGATGGACAGTTTTTAAATTTTATGATACAGAATTTTCCCCCCTTCATTGTACAGTTTGCATAAATATTGGTTGTGGGTGCCTCAAACTCTATATTAATGGTTTAAATTTGTCTATGATACATCTATCATGCAGATGATGGGCAAGACGTAGAAGGTGTGCCAAATGAAGGTGTCGAGATTACTTGTTTTCATCTGGTAAGGTTTTAATAATAATCTAATATAAGTAATCAATTATGATTACTGGTTGGAAACAAACTGGACCTCTATGATGTTTTAGGTAGTCTTTGTATGTGATGTTATTGTTTTGTATTATGTGTTATCACTTGTTTGCATTATGGTCTTTTCAGGATGGGACCCATTATATGATATACACACCTTCAGAACCACTTCTTTTTGTTGCTGTCAAGGTACTACAATTGTATTTCTCATACATTCTCCACACAAGTATTTTGTTAGCATTCTTTTGATTTTTGTAACTGCCAAATTTTTTTTATAAAGAATTATGATCTATGGAGAGCGTACCTTAATTTGGTTAATGTCAAGTTAATTTCCTGTTCTGTTCTTATTGAATGATCTAGATGATAAATTTTCCATTTATTTATTGGCACAGGATGATAACGGCCAGTTGAGAATTGCTGATGATGTAAGTTTCACTTTAAACTATTATATATACAATAAAAGCTAATGGGACTGCCTATTCTGTATGATTTATCTATTTATAATGAATAAGCAGCTTGAGATATGACAGTATGACAGTATATTTTTCCAGAGAACCATATGGGATTTATATGTAGTGCTTATTACAAGTGTCTGTGTTTGATGCATGACTTGGCCTTACACAGAAGTCCATGGAAATGTAGGGACAACCCCCTCTTTACAGCCTTAGTGCTGATGTTTGCCCTATTTGTCTCTTGTTGTTACTATTTCCATGAGCTGTGGGCTGAGGCCTTAATTCTCTTGTCATGAAGTGTGTGTTCCTTACAGCTTTGTGGGAAAGAATTATTTTGCTCGTAGACCGTTCGAGTTGTGAGCCCTTGGGATCCCATTTGATATTCTTGTTTAAATGTATTCATGTATACTGTGTTTGTAGATATTGCTTGTTTACAACTGTGCCTTCAGGTTTGTGTGTGTGTGTGTGTGTGTGTTGGTCTTCAGGACATGGATTGCTTGTTTGTGGAATCTAAAAGAACTTCACTACTACTACTAATCTACTATCATTACCGCTTTAAGGCCTTAAACTGTCACTGCCATATGTTTCTGTAAATACTTTTTTTTGCTAAAATTAAAAATGTTATTAAGGTCCTAGAAATGTATATGGGTGTTTTGGAAACACTTCCTCTACCTTTTAGATGGCTGCCTATGGCAGAAACTACACTAGATTCTCGTTGAATTGCCTATGCATATTGGTGGCATAATTCATACAGGTGCTTGGGTTTTTCCAACGGAGGCTGCTCTGATCTGTGTATGTTCAAGCATGTGTTTTGCATGCTAAAGTGCTAAACCATCTTAGAAGAGGCGCAGTATATGGAATTGAAATTGCTTCTAGAATAATGCGTGAGTAATGGGGATAAATGTTTCTCATCCTTCAATCTTGTTTCTGTATATCAGGATATTTTGGATGACCCTGCTGTTGTAAGTGCAATTGATGAAGAGACCGAATTTAATGCATTAGTGGTATGCTAAAAAAAATTATTTTCCTTTCTTCTTGTGAAAATGACAATAATACGAAAGTTCGTCAAACATTAAAATCTGGTGTTGTGATGCAGGAAGAGGAAGCTGCTCTTTTGGAGACAATGTTTGGCGAAAGATGACTCTCATGTAAATGAGGAACGGTGTAGTGTTTTTTCTGTAGGAATAGTTTCTTCTTGTCTTTGTACAGGAAATTTTGTTTGTATATTTACCCTTCTGTTTAGAGAGGAAGAAATTGTAATGATATATTTAGGGGCGTTAGTGAAAGGCTGTAGCCTGTAGGGAGTGGCAAAAAACTGCTAACATGTTCTATACGAAGTGTTTGTTTACAGTTACACATCAACATAGCTGTAATGTTCTTGAAGCCTCTTTATATGAAAAGTGTTTTACCATTAGTTTGATCTACTCAAATATAATCTACTTTGTATAACATTGCTGGCTCCTAATAAAATATTGATGGTGTAATTTGAACGAATAATGTGATAGCTAAATTTAAACCGAGGTACTAATCTATACTAGAGTGCAAGTGATGCCTTTGCACCCTTTTACTAGATTTTGCATACCTACTATGAGTCTTGAGTCGTATATAAGTAGAGTTGGTAAAAATAACTTTTCATTAAATAATTGGGTTAGGGACTTAGTGTTGAGCAACAAAACTAATACTTGTACAATACTAAGATATGGGGTATGGGCTATAATCTAAAGTTTATTATTCAAAATTTTAATATACTAGTTTAATGTTGACAATAGACTTGTCATTAACCCTGTTGGAAAAATACCAATTGACTTTAACAAATAAAATAGGATGAAAGGGAAAAATACTCAGATTGAAGATTTCAATAATACAGTATTGCCGCAGAACAGAATCTATTGCATTAGAAGTGAAATATGTCACCACCGGTACAAGTTTCCTGATGACGCACGCTCCCTAATGTTAACAAAACTTTCCTCCATAATTCGTGGACCAAAACTCGAAGAATGAAATTGCTATAAAAGCTGTTCAAATCTCAAAGGATAGATTTGTGTTTATGTGTCAGGGTTTTTCAAAAAGTCGTATCATTGAAGAGACACTTGTTTGTATTTATAAAATTCCTATACAAGAAAAGAAATAAATCCAAACCACCTATCAATTTATGGTGTGTCCAACTAGGCCCAACTAATAGCCACTTCAAATAATACTTGATGCACACGGTCGCATAAAAGAGGGGACACGACCATGTAGATAGTTTTGTATGCAAAGCCACACAACCGTGTAGAGTAAGATATATAACCATGTATATCACACAATCGTGTAGCATAAGGTACACTACAATGTAGTGGATAGTACAACAATGAGTATTCAACCAAGAAGTTACTCTCGTCTGATCGGTTGGACGAACCAACCTGGTTAAGTTTGAGATAAAATCTTTTCGGTTGCATTACTAACACCAACAAATTCAACTCAACTTAAACCCAAATCGACAATCTCTTCATTTGATACTTGATCATGAGTCCATCACACTTGTACCATCAGCAAAAGTCTTCTTACCTGAATTTGACCCGACCCAAACCCGACTAATCAACTTTATTCTACTCCTTCAACATCCCAAAAATGAGTTGCTCTATTTCCTCGATTGGACTGGGCTTGCTCATTAGCCCATCGTTCTATCTCTTCATCGTTCATCTTCTTTCTCCAGGAAAATAATCTCCCAGAAATATAAGACAAAAATTAAAATCACTCTAAAACCCTAACATTAAATCTCAGTCTTTCTCTCTCTTCAATTTTTTTTCGTTAATCAATCATCTTCAAAGCTTTTGATTTGCAACAATGTCCACTCTTGAAATTGAAGCTCGAGAGTAAGCTTTCCTATTCTTTATTATTATCTTCTTCTATTCAAATTTTATTCAATTTTGCATTATAATGCACGTTAATTTCTTGCTAATTTTTTTTAATTATATAATTTAGATGTAAAGTTTCAATCTTTAATATTGAAATACGTGAAAATTGCAGTGTGATTAAGATAGTTCTTCAATTCTGCAAAGAAAATTCCTTAAATCAAACGTTTCAAACACTACAAAGCGAATGTCAGGTGTCTTTGAACACAGTAGATAGCCATGAAACATTCATTGCAGATGTTAATAGTGGGAGATGGGATGCTGTTTTGCCTCAAGTTTCTCAACTTAAGCTTCCTAGGAAGAAGTTGGAGGATTTGTACGAGCAGGTGTGGTTGCATTTTCAATTAATATATTTTATTGGGTGGTTTGTAAGATATGATTTTGATGATTTGTTGTTGGGGTTTTGGTAGATTGTTCTCGAAATGATCGAGCTTCGAGAATTGGACACCGCCCGAGCAATTTTGAGGCAGACCCAAGTGATGGGTGTGATGAAGCAAGAGCACCCAGAGAGGTACTTGCGGTTGGAGCATCTTCTTGTTCGGACCTATTTTGATCCGCATGAGGTACTTGTTTTCACTCTAAATCGTCTTATGTTGTTATTACTTCCCTGCTGTAGCAATATTTGGATTGTTGAACAATTTATGACAGCTGGTGAGAATGAGATTACTGTTGGGTTTATTAGTGAGAGTTGAGAAATGAGAATAGTCCTATTTTTGTAGATAAAGATTTATGTGCAGGGGTGGGGCAGGGAGGAAAGGAACGGTGGCGTTTGAGGCTTGCTACTTGGTAATGACCAAGGGAATAGTGTAGGATGGAACCTCTTGGAAAAGTTCATACAATGAAGGTCTGATCTTGGGATTGATCGACATTGAGTTAAGTCCTGTGTATGGCTTAAGTGGTTAATTTTGAGCTTAGCAGATGACGTCTACTTGGATGTTATTAAGAATATTAAGAGCCTAAGAAGAATATTAAGAATTTAAGATCTTTGTGACTAGAACAAGAGGGATTTTGATGATGCTAGTGTTTCATGAAAAGATATTATGAGGAGCTTTGCACTTAATTTGATAGCTTAGAAGCAATGGGTTCTTAGTTCAGGAGCTGTATGGATTGTCGTAAAAAGAGCTGAAGAGTTCAGGAGTATGAGTAAGAAAATTTGAAGTGGGTTGGGTTGTGAGAGGAAAGGATAAGTGTAGGATGTCATTGGTCATTATGAAGTACACTGTCTCTTTTACAATATGATGATGCAAATATGCAATCCCATCAAAAGGGATAATAATAGTATGCTTATGGAGGGAACATGTTGAAGAGTAGATTTACTTACAAGTTAAAGTGCACATTTTTGTCCTTTGAATATCATTTATTATTGTATGTTACTGTTTGAACTTTGAAGCAAATTGTACTCCATTCCCTTATGTGCTTCTCTTCAAACCTAATCGACTAATGTTAATTTATAGTTTGCAGCTAATTTTATGTGTTAGTCAAACTCGTTAATGTACTCTAATATCTACTAACCGTCAAACATGGCCTATGTTGATTCTTAGTTATATATGCATGCTGCGTTGCTTGTAGCACGAAGAGTATTATACTTCTTTGTTTTGTTGGGCTCACTTCTTTAAGAGTACTTTCCAATTTCTAGTACCCTACAGGTTTCCTAAAATGGGTGGTTGGTGACTAGGAGATTGACTTTTGTTACCCTCTTTTTTCTAGAGGGGGGGGGGGGGGGAGGGGGGGGGGGGGGAGGGAGGGGAGCTTATGAAGCTTAGATACATCAAGCCTACTAGTATCCTCTATCGTATTCATAATCTTGACCTAATGTCTGACAGGCTTTGCGGTGTTCTTTCTTCTACAACTTTAGTTGCCGGAATTTCTTTTGTTGGAGTGAAGTTGATTTTGAACTTAACTCCTATGTTTGTTGGGGTGCTTTGTGGTTCTATACAATGTTGGGTTTTGAAGGATTTTATCATTAAGGTGAATTTTATGATAAGTTGAGTTGCCCAGTTATGGTAATTAAATCTCGGAGTGTGTGGAAGAAGTGGGAAATAGGAATTGTTTGTTATTGGCATTTTGTGGATATTAGTGAATTAGCGCTGTTGGAAATGGTTTGTTAGACCTGTTTACCCCTATTCTCTTTCACTTGGGCATTTAAACCTTGAGGCTACGCTCTTTTCACCTTCGGCAAAAAGTTCTTGGAAAACTTCTTACTGATAACTTACATTAAAGGCTATTCAAGTTCTATCACAACTACAATAAGCTCTAATATATACTTATGAGTTTTGAAAAGCTCCAATTAGTCCAGACAAGTCCAAATCAGTTTAGATTACTTTAGACTTGTCAATATAGAACTCTCCCTCAACTTTCTGTAGGATTTTGTTAACTTCTAAGGTTTAGATTGAGGGAGCTGTCTTTGTTTATTATAATTGTTAGTTGATTTTTATTGTACTCTATTCATTGAGTAAAAATTGATATAGATGTATTGCAAGCAATTAAGGTGGTTTCAAGGTTTAGAATTGTCTTAAGTTCAGTATGCTTGGTTTATTTGAGGTCTCCTCTCTATGATGCATTTGCCTATCTTGCTGTGTGATGTGGGGAGTTTAGATGTCTAATCTCTATCTCATTATTTTTCAAGGGGTACTCCCCAATGTTTTTCTTTGTGAAATCGATGGCCCTTAATGGAGATTTTATTGCTTTTGCTAGTTGTGTCTTAACTATCTTTCTAGCATCCCTTTTATGCTGCCTTTACATTTCTAGTATTGTTGGGATGTTACTCAATTATTGCATACTTGTGGGATTTCTTTAGTTGACTGTGTTGTAACGAAGAGAGTCTACTTAATGACTTGGAATACATAATAGAATTGTGGGTGTATACATTGAAGAACATCACACTTACAAAGAAAATTTTATGGATGTTTCCTCTTGGATCATAGATTCATGGTTACTCAAAGAATCAGTAGTCATAAGGAAAATATCGATTTACAATAATATATTGAGATGCCTTATAGACTTGTGCTTACTTTCTATACTAGTTAGTGGATTTTTATCATGTATCTAGTTTATATGTACGTGTGGATGGGAAATAATTAAGAACAGTTTTGAGACTGAGAGGAATCTAGAGCAGGGAGCACTATCTTCTTTGCATCTAAGCGACTATACATGTCATAATGCTCCTATTATGTTCTTCCCTGATAAAGAGATCTATGTTCACTTTTTGAAGTTTCCATTTTGGAATTATTTGCCTGATTGTAAGTAAAATGAGCTTCCATATTTGTTTGGTGTTTTAGAGCTTAACATTTTTGAGGAATTTCTGGTAAATAGTTTCTTGTAAGTATCGCAGAAGTTCCAATATTTTTTTTCTTCTCCTTGTCCCTTGTTTGTTTGAGGTCCTTAAGGAGGTTGAGTCCTTTGTGTAGACAATGGTGAAATTAATGAAGTATTGTGGATTTTGTGACATTGAAAACTGCAGTTTGTCTGGTGTTAGTGTGTTGTGCTTGGGGACTTGGGTGTTTATATCTTTGTTTTTATTGTATTTGTAGGCCAGATATGCAACTTTGAGATTTATAGGGTGTTCTAAGTAGGTCCATGGGGGCTTCAAGAAAAGAATTCTTCCTGGCTTCAGTGGGTTTTTTTTTTTTTTTTTTTTTTTTTTTTTTTTTTTTTTGAAGGGGGTGGGGGGGGGGGGTTTGACTGGTGTTATATTGCAGTGATGTAAAGTATGGTTTGGCTTACATTCCATCCTCTTTTTGGGTTTAACTAAAAAAACCTTTGGAGGTATATTATGTATAAGATATGAATTCTGCATGTAGACAATATTTGTATACTAATTATTTACTTTAGGATCCTAATGCGTAAGTTGTTAATGGTTGTAATTTTTGCCATATTGATGTTCTATGCACTTTGTCACCCCGGCAATTGAAATAGCAAAAGTTACAGTCAGCATTCATGGAGCTGTATCTAGCTTATCAGTGGCTTCTTTTGACAGGCTTATCAAGATTCAACTAAAGAAAGGCGACGTGCTCAAATTGCACAAGGTTTACTTTTCTTTGTTGCATTGCTCTAATATTTCATGCTGTATGGTTTGATTGTCTATTATTGAATTTTTGTTTTAGTTTTTTTATTTTAATTATAATTAAAACTTATATAATTAAAGCTTCCATTATAATACAATCAAATAAGTGGAAGGGAGATAAACTTTAGATTGAATTTTGGTGTGACGGTCTGCTGAACCTCTATGAATATTGCACTCTCTCCCCATTTAAAAGATTTATCATTATTATGCATAATGGTACTTTGCCTTTTCAGTTACTTTTTTTCTAAATCTCTAAGCTACCAATGAATGAGATGATTTACGAGCCTTATTGCTTCAAATTCTTTGTTCGCACAATTGCATCTCCTATTAAAACTGCTTTTTGCTTTTGTGTTGCTTGTTAATCTTGATATCTTCTCCTTTTCTTTCACCACTTTGTTTCAGCTCTTTCTTCAGAAGTTTCTGTTGTTCCACCATCACGATTGATGGCTTTGATTGGGCAAGCTTTGAAGTGGCAACAGCACCAAGGTTAGTCAGAATTCTATATCTTATGTCATGGAAGAGAAACTTGAGATTTGTTTTTGGGTGCATATTTTGGATGAAAAGAGAAATTGACAGCATATTTAAATACTTTTCAGTCTTATTTGCTATGTGCACTGTTAATCTATTGAGGAAGTATATGATATCCAATTCCTGAAGAGGGATATTAGAACTAGTCACTAAGTTTCTAAAGTATAATTTCAAAATAAAGTTATAGAAATGCTGAACATTATAAGGATTTTTTGTGCATTGAATCAATTTAGTTTATTTATTTTTAGTGTTTGTTTTTGAGCTTGTGACATACAGTAAATGCTTTCCCCAAGGCCAGAGCTTCTCATTAGTAATGGAAGGTTGTAGCGCCATTATACTCATTTAATTGATGCGTTCGCTGAACGCCCACCATCAAATAAATGCTTTGACTACAATTAGAGTACTAGTAAAGTAGTAAGATCTCTAATTTAATAGCTAATTTTGGCATTTCTTAAATATGTTCCCTGGTTGTCATACTGTTGTATTCTTTTCATTAATTCCCACTAGTTGAAAAATGTTATGCTTCTATAAAGTGTTTTTTGAACTACTTTTTCCATTCTGTCAGGTTTGCTTCCTCCTGGGACACAGTTCGATTTATTCCGTGGAACTGCTGCAATGAAACAAGATGTTGAGGATATGTATCCTACGACGCTTACTCATACTATCAAGGTAGAATTGGTTTTCAATCATGTATAACAAAATTTGTTTATACTATGCTAACAAATTTGCAAATGATAAAGAATTTGTGCTTGACAATGGTGTTCTTAGTGACTGTTGTCCATTGCTGTGTAATTTTAGTTGTATAGTGGGAGTGAGTTTTGGGTTCCATGTATTTCCCCCTTTTTTCTCTTAATTATTGGCACCAGGATTGCAGTTTGAAGTAGTTACGAAAATATAATAGTACATTAGAATGAGACTGTAATGGACATGATATGATGTGGAGCAGTGGAATCCTAAGAACATGTATCCAATTGAAGTTTCTGTACAGGTTGCTCGTATCTGTTGTTGTTATTATTCTATGAGAATTTCGCGTTGTTGAGGACTTTATTTCCCTGTTTGGGGCATTGTATTACAATACGTAATCTCCTTGCCACATTCATGTGAAAAAATCTGACAGATTAACTCACTCACTAAGGAAAATTATTAAATGAGATTCATGCAGCGTGAGACTTCCGCAACTTTCTATAGGATATAGGATGACTTCCATGGGTAATTTAAATTTAATTAAAGTTTGAGGCTCATTTCCATCATTCACTTATTGAATTATATTATGCAGTTTGGGAAGAAAAGTCATCCAGAATGTGCTCGGTTTTCACCTGATGGGCAATTTCTTGTTTCTTGCTCTGTTGATGGATTTATTGAGGTATACTATAATATGTTTGTATATCTGGATTTTTTTTTTATCTACATTTTATTTTGAAATATATTCTTAGATTTACATGATCAGGTATGGGACCACGTTAGTGGGAAGCTCAAGAAAGATCTTCAGTACCAGGCTGATGTAAGTTTCTCTCGTTTGATTGAGTTTGTGACTGAATTCAATTTGTTCTGGATGTCATTGTCATATCTGGGTTTTTTTTTTTTTTTTTTTTTTTTAACCTTTTGATTGTCTGTCAATTAATGCAACTTGTGGCTCATCAAAAGAATTGTGTGGTAATCCTGGAGTATTGTAGTTTTGAGAAGACTCATTAGTCATTTCTAGATGTATGTTGTATTATTGGAATTTTTTTAAGTTATTCTTTTTTCCTTTTGTATAACTATTAATTAGCCGCCGCCACAGTGATTAAACTTTACTTGTTTTCTTACTGCTCCAAATGTCGAGAAAGATACCAGTTATCCCCTTCCACTTACGATATGTTTCAAATTGATGGTACAAAAATCCCCCTATCTAGATGATTTTGCATTGTTCTATTAAAATTTAAAATTTTCTTTTAGAAATCCCTTTAATTTCTGCTTAGGGAAACTGTGTTGAGCTTTATGGAGTAAAATCTATTCATTGAATTCATTTTTGTTGTTGGGTTAAATTTTTTATTTATCAACTTGATTTGTATTTTAACAGGAGACATTTATGATGCATGAGGAAGCAGTCCTTTGTGCTGATTTTAGTAGAGATTCAGAGATGCTTGCGTCCGGTTCTCAAGATGGAAAAATCAAAGTAAGGACGTATTTATATTTTCTGGAACAGTGAAGAGCCTGCGTCATACTGTAGTTAAAATGGGATGGACATTAGTCTCTAAGAATGATATGTCCTTATATTTAGCATTTTGTCCTGGTTGATCTCTAATTCTCTTTTGTAAATTTGTAATGTTTCAAAAACTATAATTTTGCTCTGTATAGCTTCTTATGTTGATTTATAACATAGAAATTTGTCTACATTGACCTTAATTAGCTTCTTATTCATGGAAGAAAGGGTTGCTGATAATTTGTTGCTCGACCTTGTACCTGTCTGCAGGTTTGGCGTATTAGAACTGGTCAGTGTTTGAGACGCCTTGAACGTGCTCATTCTATGGGAATTACAAGTCTTTGCTTTTCTCGAGATGGAAGTCAGATATTGAGTACATCTTTTGACAGCACTGCCAGGTTTGGATCTCCTGATTGACTTACGACTTTTATGATTCAATTAGCTAATAGTTTAGGTATTACTGACAACTTGGTACTACATTTAGCTAATGTTCTGTGTAGTTTCAAATAGTAGTGATAATAATTTGCTTTAAATATCTAAAAAAAAGCTAATGTTCTGTGCTGTATTATTTGTTTTCTATAGTTTCTCGTATATTTGACTCTAAATGTTTCAGTCGTTTATTTTTTCTTTTTATTTTTTATTTATCTTGCTTCTTAACGTTGCATAATCAATTTCCACTGTCTGGCTTAATTTGATGGGCTCTCCACATTGGTATCACAGCATTTAGATAATATTCACTTAAATGTGATATTGGTTGAACTCAGGGTTCATGGTTTGAAGTCTGGGAAATTGTTGAAGGAATTTCGTGGGCATACTTCTTATGTGAATCACGCAATATTTACAAATGACGGTAGCCGTGTGATCACAGCATCTAGCGATTGCACAGTCAAGGTGAATTGCCTAAGTGATTAAAAACTTTTAGGCCTCTACCTGGCTCTAAGTTCTTTTTTTTTTTCCTTTCTAATATCTCATATTTCTTTTTTTCATATATGTAACAGGTTTGGGATGTCAAGACAACTGAGTGTCTACAGACTTTTAAACCACCACCGCCTTTAAGGGTAATCCTTGATACTTTGTTGATTGTTTCTTCTTATACTATTCTTAATTAATGGAAGCTGTATTGTGTTACAATCATTACCTTTCTGAAATCCAGGGTGGAGATGCTTCTGTAAATTCTGTTCATTTATTTCCCAAAAATATGGATCACATTGTTGTTTGCAACAAGACCTCATCCATATATATCATGACACTCCAAGGACAGGTATGCTCTTGCACTTGTTAGTTGATTTAGCACTCAATGAGATCTGTTAACTGATTTGCTAAATAGCGCACGAGTCAGGGAACCTTGTTTTACTCTGATTCTGTGTATACTCGATGAGTGAATTTGAGATTATACTAAACAAATTGAATATTCCCTTGAAATACCTTGAACCATTTCATTAGTTGAATTCAAAAACTTGCTAAGTTGCATAGATAGATTCAAATCTCCTCTCGTTTTTCACGAAATTATAGTAAGAATTGATGAGTAGTTCATCCATTTGCTACATTTGGTAGTGGCAAGCTGTAAATCTTGTAATATACTGCATCTGAGCCAACAATGTTGAGATAATTAGGCTGAAAATTGTTTCTGGTTCAACATTTCGTAGCACTTTTAGCTGCATTTCTGACCCAAAATACTTGATGCAGGTTGTGAAGAGTTTCTCTTCTGGTAAGAGAGAAGGTGGAGACTTTTCTGCGGCCTGTGTATCACCAAAAGGGGAGTGGATTTACTGTGTTGGTGAAGACAGGTATTCTACCAACGATATTCTTCAATTATAGCTTCTATCGTAATTGAAACCCTTCAATAACACCTGTTAACATTCTTTCTGTTTGGCAGAAATTTGTATTGTTTCAGCCAACAGTCTGGTAAACTAGAACATCTGATGAAGGTAACTGAGTGGTTTGTCATAAATATATATACGTTCTGGTTAATCATAACACCTGGTTTGATTATCGTTTGACTTTTATCGTGGCAGGTGCATGAGAAAGATGTAATCGGGGTGACACACCATCCTCACATAAATCTTGTGGCTACCTATGGTGAAGACTGCAGCATGAAATTATGGAAGCCTTGAGATTTTTGGCAGGGTCTCTCCCTTTTTTCACACAGATTTCGGTTTTAATTCTGCCTTGTCGGCTTGTCGCTAGTGTAGTAGTGTATAAATGTAATTGTTGTATTGTATGTCATGTTTGAGGCATCTAATTATTGCTATTCAAAAACTATTAATTTTCTAGATTTTACATTTGATGAATGACTTACTTTGATATAAGCGATCTCTCCCTTTAGGTTACTGAAGTGTGGAAACTTGTTTGTTCTTATTCATTCCCAAAGTAATACTTGAATGAATGAAAAAGATATGGAATTAATTTGTAGTACGCCTAATTATGCCCCATAGAGTATCCATTGAAAGTGTTTAATGTATCTTAGGATTCTTAGCTGCCTCCATAAACGCATAGAAAAAGTTGAACACATAGCATAATAGCATAATTTCAGACTTAAGATGATGACAAATTAATGCTTGCAATACAATATTAATGTGAACAATAAATTAATTTGCCACATTCTTATTTGTGCTTTGGTGCTAACTTCTTTAGCTACTTTGATATTTTATTTTTATTTTATTTTTTTATAAAAAAAACCACAAGAAAGCAACTTCATGTAGGGATGACAATTCAGTCAGGATCAAACCCTACTCCGCCCCGATTCGAGATAAAAAAAAATCCGCTCTGAGTCCGAGAAAAAAGTAATCCGAGTTCGACTCCGTTAAAATAATCCGACTCCGAGTCGGAGGATGGTCGGAGTCGGATCCTACATAATATCCGAGAAAAAGATCCGACTCCGACAAATATCCAACTCTGACGGATTATCCAACTCCGATAGATCATGGATTTTGGTGTGGGTCATGGTGGCATTGGGTGTGGGTTGTAAAGGCCCAAATAGGCCAATTTATCAAAGTATATTGAATAACGAAAAAAAACTCGGAGTCAGGTCGGATCAGAGTCGGAGGTCGGATATTTAAAATTTATAATCGGAGTTGGAGTCTCGGAGTCGGATTTAGCCTCCGATTTCCTTTAGGGTTGGAGTCGGATTTAGCATAATCCGCTCCGAGTCCGACCCGTTGCATGTCTTCCCTACCTTCATTGGATCGAATCAGTTACTGATGGTTTCAGCAAGAGTAGGATCATAAGCCAAGGAGCATCATCAAGTGTTTGTAAGGGAACTCATTTCCATGAACAAAATGTTACAAAGATTTAATGATGTATTGATAATTTTATATATAGATACTAAATTTCCACAAGACAACAATACTGAAAAATATGGATATATATATACAGATTTCCAAAAAAAAAAAACCAGTTTTCATTATGTCAACATGTCATAATTTCACAAAACAACAGTTGCTAGTAATCATCAATCAATATCAATAATTCAATAATTATATACTAAAAGACACACCATCAATGACACTTGTCATCTCCTGGTGTGTCCTTAGTTTTTTTTTAATTAAAAAAATCTAATTAGGAAACAAATATTTTACATAAATAAAAGAAAATAATTTAATGTATCCTTCCACAAAATATATTATACCTTATTTATTTATTTTTGAGAGAATATATTATACCATATAATTATGTTAAAAAAAAAAAAAATCAAATTCTTACATAATTTGTGACATAAATAGTATTATGTACTACTCTATCATTATTACAACAAAGATATTTTTTATAAGATTTTGGGAAATTCCCATTGGTACACCTGTGGTATTGACTTTTATCAATGGTACACCCGTGTTTTTATTATTTATCAACGGTACACTTGTCGTTTGGACTTTTCTCACTAATACACCTATTCCGTTTGAAAAGTTAAAAAACCGTTAAAAGCTTTTCAGCCACCCTCTCCCCACCCTACTGCCACCCGTCCCCCACCCCTGCTCCCCTTCGCCACCAGTCCCTCCTTCCCCACCCAGCCGGCGGCCAGCGCCCAGAGCCGACGACCCCACCCACACCCCCCTTTCCCCCACCAAGGCAACCCACCACCCTCTTTTTCCCCCTTTTTGTTTCCCGAACCCCATCGCAAAACCACCCCTAAACGTCGTCCTCCCCTCGAAACCGCCCCCCTCCTATTCATCTCCCCCCAGAAACCGCTCCTCCCCCGGAAACCCCCCCTTAATCGACCTCTTAAGGACTCTAACCCCCTAACCTTCCCTTAATTCGTCGGCGGTTTTAGGGTTTCAATTAGGTGGTGGTTTAGGGTTAGGACCCATAGGGGGTCAATTAAGGGAGGGGGAAAGGTGAGGGGAGGTTTCCGGGGGAGGGGGGAGAGGAAGGGGGCGTTTTCGACGGGAGAACGGTGGTTAGGGGTGGTTTTGGGATTGGGGTCGGGAAACGAAAAGGGGGAAATGGAAGGTGGTAGGCTGCCTTAATGGGGGAAAGGAGGGCGTAGGTGGGGTGGTCGGCGCCGGGCGACCCTCTAGGCGTCGGCCGCTGGCTGGGGGGGAGGGGGACCGATGGTGACGGGGAGGAGGGGGTGGCAATGGGGTGGGCAGGGAGGCTGGGTTATTTTATTTTTTTTAAGATTTTAGAATAATTTAGATTTTAAAAAAAAAATAAAAATTTTTTTACGGTTTTTTAACTTTTCAAACGGAATAGGTGTATTAGTGAGAAAAGTCCAAACGACAAGTGTACCGTTGATAAATAATAAAAACACGAGTGTACCATTGATAAAAGTCAATACCACAGGTGTACCAATGGGAATTTCCCTAAGATTTTTGTATTAATTATTTGTGGAAAGCTTGCTAAGAAATATATATAAAAAATAAAAAATAAAAAAATTAAGTCAATTTATTAGTGAAAAAAGTACTGCATAAGTGATAATGAATAATAGTGTGTAAAAAAAATCCATTTGTGGGTAAAACACATATTGTTAAGATATTCATTTGTTTAACAAGAAAAAAATGATATTAATTTGTTAGTGAAATATACTCTATATAAATGAGTTAATATCACAAGTAGGGCTGTGCACAATAGGTTAATCGTACCGTTTAGCCTTAACAGTACGGTTAACCGTTATGTCGGTTACTTAAAATTTCGAATCGTAACGTAGCGGTTAACCGTTCCTTAACGGTACGGTTACAGGTTAACCATTAACCGTTTAATAAATTTTAAACCCTGCATTACTTCCAATAGTTCCAAACATCCAACTCTAATACAAACTTAAAAATAAAGTAATAAACAATAAAATTCATGTTCTAATTAAGATTACAAATCCACAAACCAAATACATTACAAAGTTTTATATTAATTCGTAGCCAATTTCCCCAAATTGATTTGTACACTAATTCAAAAAAAAAAAAATGCATAAATCAAACAGAGAGAAAGAATACCTGATAGATCTGATGTTCTAGTGAGTCAGTGAAGGCTCCGGTGAGTCGGTGAAGGCTCCGGTGAAATCTGAACTCAGTAAGTGAGGTGAAGTGAGGGACTGAAAGAAGTGAAGGGTGGAGGCTAAAGAAGTGAATTGGGAAATAAGAGTTTTTTTAGGGTTACATTATATATTTTCCCTATATAAATTAAAAAATATATATATTTATTTATTTTAACGGGTTAACCGTTTACTAAAACTTCTAACCGTAACCGTAACCGTTAATCGCTATATTTAGCGGTACGGTTAACCGTAACCGTTTAATTTTAACGGTTCGGTAAATTAACCGTTTAAATGAGCCGGTTACACCGGTTAACGGTTCCAGTAAACGGTTACGGTTTTTTTCACACCCCTAATCACAAGAGAGTACTGAACTTTGGCAAATGTATCAGATAAGGTACTAAAGTTTCATTTGTATCACTTTGAGTACTGAAACAGGTAAACTCTCCCTTTTACCTAATATTACCGGTTAACATTGTAAAAAAAATAAAAGAAAACAAAATCTTTTTAATTTCTCTCTCTTTAACCACTTAACATTGTAAATAAAATAGAATAAAATAAATGAAATCTTTTTAATTTCTCTCTCTTCCAACTTCTGGGTTTTCATCTTCATTCATCATCAACTTCAAATCCACTCTCCTTTATATAAAATTAAAAAGTCGGCCTCCCCCACTGTAGAACAACGCCACCCTACTGACCGTGTACACCGCCGCCGCTTCTACTCCTCTCCTCTTTCTAATTATATTTTACGAGTTTTAGGGTTTTGGGCTGATTGGGAATGACTGGGGTGAGTTTCGGTGGTTAGGGTTGGGTTTTGGGTAGATATGGGGTGAAATTTTGGTGGTTATGGTTGGAATTTGAGGTGGGTATGTTTTTTTTTTTTTTTTTGTTTTTGTTTTTGTTTTTGTTTTTGTTTTTGTTTCGTGGTTGTTTTTGTATTTTTAGGAAATAAAGGGGGGGAGATAAAGGGGTCAAGGGTAGGGGAGGGCCGGGGGTTGTACGTAGTTCATGCGGTGAGTGGGGGTGGGGCGGGGTAGGGCTGGTTTGCAATGGGCATATTTTTAGATTTTTTTTTCTTTGTAATCTGGTTTATTTTCAGATCTAATGTTTTATTTTGTGGGTAATTTCTTGTTAATTTTCGAATCTAATGTTTTCAATTTTAGATCATTGTGGGTGGTTGTGAGATTATGAAGTATGGTATTAGGAATGGCTTGTCCATCATTAAAGGACAGAAAGAGAAAGTTGAACGAGTTGGGTTCATGTCCAGGTGTGAGGTTTTTTTATTTTTTATTTTTATTATTATTATTTTCAGAAATAAAAAATTATTTTTTTAAGGAAATTGTATTTAATCGGTTACAATCAGTGGCAAACGGAAAGTTTACCTACAGTCAAGGTTATAGTACTCTATTTGATACAAATGAAAGTTCAGTACCTTAATTGATATATTTGCCAAAGTTTAGTACCTTGTTGTGTATATAACTCCTATATAAATATACATATATGCGTATTTTATATATCTATTTTGCTAATAATAGACTCTTTCATAATAATTTCATTTTACGATGTAGACAATTCATTTTTTATTAAATATTATATTAATTAAATATTAGTTATTTGAAAATAATCGTGCTTGGCACGGAAACCTAACCTAATTGAAAACAAGTCAAACCCAATTAATAACACAATTACAAATAAGAAGTAATCCTTCGTTTCAGTTTTTTTAAAAACAAAAAACCAAAAACAAGAAACAAGAAAAAGGTGTTTTCACTTTTCTGTTGTCAGTTTTCAAAATTAGCATGATTTTAATAAGTTTGACTATTTTTTTTATTCATTACATTACATACTTCCTCCGTTTTTTTATACATTGCACCACTTGCCTTTTAAGGAAGTATCACAAATATTGCACCATTTCTATTTTAGGAAAAGAAATACTTGTGTTCACACTACAAATATC